GAGATATATAGGTAAGAACTCTGTAGAGAAAGGAATTCTGCCAGAGGACTGGAGATTGGCCAATATAATACCCATTTCTTAAAATGGTGATGGGGCTAATCCAAGAAATGTTGACCCAAACTGCCACTGTATTTTAAATTATTTGGACCTAGAGATAATCAAGCTCACAGATAATAATAATAATAATAATAATAATCCTTGCATTTGATATAGCGCTTTTCACATCGGGAGGACGTCCCAAAGCGCTTCACAGAATATACTGTAAAGTGAATTGACTGTATATTTGTGGGCGAACGCGGCAGCCAATTGCACACAGCAATGTCCCACAAACAGTCGTGGATTGAAAATGACCAATTTATTATTTTTTTTTTGGTTTTGGAGGGATTATTATTAGGGCTGTGTGTGGAGTAAGGAAACTTGCCCAAGGTTTCGTCCTGCCTGGAATTGAACTCAGGTCTCTCACTTGCAAAGCAAGTGCTCTAACCACTGAGCTACAGGACTCCAAAATAGGATGTTTTGTTTAAGAAAGCTTTTTAGCAATGTACATGATACCGAAAGGTATTTTACTAATCCAGGGATTATAGCAATTTATAGTTCTTTCTTCTTCTGGTGAGTTTTCTTTCCTCTTTGTCTTCTGTCTTCCCAGGGATGCTGTTCTAGTATCAGTTTGGTGCATTGGAGAAATCTGAGCCAATGGGTCTGGATTTGAATACCACCTCAGGACTTTGAATCACATAATCTAAGATGACACTCCAATGCAGTGTTGAGAAATGGCCGGGGGGGGGGGGGGGGGATGTCGTCCTTCAGATGAGATGTAAAATCGAGGCCCTGTCTGCCTGGACAGGAGGATATTCAAGATCCCATGGCACTATTTGAAAAGCAAAGGGAATGTCTCGCGGTGTCCTGGCTAACAATCCCCCAAATAAAATTGGTCATTTGTTTCATGATTATTTGTGGGACATTGCTGCGTGCAATTGTGCTGCCACATTTGCCTACAAATCCATAGTCACTCCAATTCACAGTAAATCCTGTGAAGTTGCTCCAATGTGATAAGGCACAATGTGGTGTCCTGTAGCTTAGTAGTTAGAGCACTTGCATCGTAAACAAGAGACCTGGGTTTGATTCCCGGGCAGCACAAAACCTTAGCCAAGTTTCCTTACTGTACATGCCTGTTCTTACCTAGAATTAAGTACGAACCTAGTGTTAGTTGATTGGTGGATCACTTTTCCAGGCGTAATAATCCCTTAAACAAATTTTTTAAAAATAATTATTTGGTAACTCAGTCCATGACTGTTTGTGGGACACTGCTGTGCGCAATTGGTTGTCGAGTTTCGCACACAAAATATACAGTCAATTCACTTTACAGTATATTCTTTAAACGCTTTGAGACGTCTTGAATGAGAATAGGACAATAGAAGGATATGCGAGAAAGTAAAGGAATGGGTGGAGATAGGTGTGCAGTATAAACAACTTCAGGGACTGGTTGGGCTGAGTGACCTGTTTCTGTGATGTACATTCTTTGTAACTCTTTGTAAATACAGTGTATTATTATTGAGTTACAAATTCCACTATGTTTGCAGACATGTTACTGTAACCAGATATGTCTCCAGGCTGCTGTAAATGATTTAACATTTAAACATTATACTCTTCTTCTAACTTTTAACAATACAATTCAAAGTGAACTTGTGACGCCTGAGGCTTGAAATGTTCCATGGCCTTAGCCCGGGCATAATTGCTTTACAATTTTGGAAAATTATTAAATTTAAGTTATTTTTAAAAACAAACTGCAAAAATCGGCTTTTAAATTAACATTGAGATTAATTTATTTTATCTTATATAGCGATTTTAAATGAGAAATGATTTTAAAGCTAAGACCATGAGAGATTTCAGACCTCTGATGTTCAAACAAAGATATTGATAATTCTATATTTTTGTAGAAATTGTTGTACATTTAAGGATTTGATCAGGTTAAGATAGTTGGCAAAAGTTTTGGTTTTGGTTTAAGAAATATGGTTGAATCCATATGTTGAATACATGTGTATTTTCTTAAATCTAGTAAGTTCCTGCCTGGCACTGTACTATACATGTTTGCTATATGTAAATTGTCATTCAGTTTCAGTTTCGCCCCATAAATAGTATGTAATGATTACCTACCCATTTTACATAACTATCTTGTCAACTCTAAGCTGTCCCATAGAACAGGAATCGTCTTTGCCTACAATGCTCCCTCTTAACAAAATGAAATCAGCTAACAGCACCAAGTGATGCCAGAGCAAAAATCATACAAAATATTTTTATATTGAATCAAATCCTTCTAAAAGGACATTAAAGTCCCATATTTACATTGGATATAGTGAGATAATATTAAAACTTTTCAAAGCACTTCACAGGTAATTGCTCCAAAGAAACTGTATATTTAAAGTGAACACAGAGGCTAATTTGTGTACGATAACATCCTACAAACAACCATGAAGTGAATTATCAATTAATCTGGGAAATTGTTCTCTTTTCTTTTCAAATTGTGTCATGGGATCTTCAACATGTATCTGCATAGGGACCTCGGTTTCATGTCTCATCCAATAGATGGTAACTCCAATAATCGCTCCCTCAGCCTAGACTATAAGTCTCAAATCCTGACATGGAATTTTGAGTCCTGATGTAGATGATAGGAGTGGAAACCCTAACCGTTTTATCCTATTCCTTAACCAGGGTTATTGGAGCTTATTGTAACACCTATATCACTTGCCCCATCTGAGATTAACTAATTCAGAGTAGTATGGTTTACTACTGCACTGGATGGTATTTTTATCCTCCACAAATTGGAGGAGCACCACATCCGCGCCAGAAGTATTTGATATTTGTTGTATTTGTTGTTGTGTTTGTTGTTATTTTTGTATTTATTGTTGTTGTTGTATTTGTTGTTGTAGTTGTATTTGTTGTTGTTGTTGTATTTGCTGTTGTCGTAGTTGTATTTGTTGTAGTTGTTGTAGTAGTTGTAGTAGTTGTATTTGTTGTTCTTGTAGTTGTAGTTGTTGTTGTTATAGTAGTAGTAGTAGTAGTAGTTGTTGTTGTTGTAGTTGTTGTCATTGTTGTTATTGAGCCAGTCAGGAACCTGGGTATCTTGTTTGACCCTGAACTGTCCTTTCTTCCCCACATCCGTGCCATGACCGGCACTGCCTACCACCACCTCCGTAACATTGCCAGACTCCGCCATTGCCTCACCCCTCAGGCTGCCGAAACCCTCATCCACGCATTCGTCACATTAGACTCGATTACAGGAACTCCCTCCTCATCGGCCTTCCCAACTCTTCCCTTCACAAGCTGCAGATCATCCAAAACTCTGCAGCTCGTGTACTCTCATGCACCAGGCTCTGTGACCCCACGACTCCACCCTCACCCGACTCCACTGGCTCCCTATCCCCCAGAGGATCGAGTTCAAGATCCTCGTTCTCACTTTCAAGGCCATCCATGGCTTTGCCCTCTCCTACCTCTCTGACCTGCTGACTCCCTACCAACCTGTCCGCTCCCTCCGTTCAGCGGGCTCCGGTCTGCTCCATGTCTCCCGTCCAACCCGTTCTACCATTGGTGGCCTGGATTTCAGCCTCTCTGCCCCGACACTCTGGAATTCCATCCCACAGTCTCTTCGCCTCGCTTCCTCCCTTGCCTCCTTCAAGGCCGATCTCAAGACCCTTCTCTTCAATCGTGCCTTTGGTCACCCTCCTACCTCTCTGCCTTCCCTCACCCCTACACTATCCCTCCCCCATGCTCCGGCCCTTTCACCTGACTGTTCAGCGCTTTGGGATGTCCTCCAGACGTGAAAGGCGCTCTATAAATGTAATTTTGTTGTTGTTGTTGATACCTTTATTCTTTTTGAAATTTAACCACCGTGTCCCTTCGGAGTATGCTAATCATTGGTCAATTAGCATAACATTTCTCTTCCTCCACATGGTAAGAAATGTTTAGCTGTTCACAGCCTCTTGTAGATATAATAGACCAAAAATAAATGGTGACCTCTTAGGAGCAATTCTTTACTTTGGGAAAGTTTGAGGACTATTTGGAGTTAAAAAATGATTAATGTACAATGTGTATTTATAGTTTGTTATTTCATAAATTAGTGTCTTGTGGGAACTGATGTTTGAACTAAATGTCTATCATTGAACTCATGTAGTGCAGTTCATTGCTCTGGAGTACATACAGATAAACATCTCTGAGATCATTTTATTGCTTACTCTTATCTTTACTGCAAATGTTATCTTCCACTTCATCTAAATGCTGATTAAAGCTTGGTATGAGTAACAAAGCTACTGACTGGGCAATGTTACCAATAAAATATAGGCAAGGGATCAGATTTATATTATGGACATTGCTGCAAAACATTTTTTTGTACATCATCCAAAAATCTTCTAATTAAAGTTGGCTGAAATAAATATTTTCAATATTTAAATCATACCTAAAAACACTGCAGGATTCCACAAGAATGGTTACTTTCACAAAACTGCTTTGTTACAATTTCAGAAATTTTCTGCTCTGAATTTTGGGAAGAAAAGATGATTTAGCAAAATGTAAAACTTTTTTTCGCTTACTTTCTTTCTATTTATTTGATTTTCACTGGCGTGGTTTTTTTTTGAAACACTCTCTGGTTGACCTTTTCTTTCCTTCATGGGATGTGTCACGTCCGTTTGAATTACTTTTCCTTAACTGTTGAAAGTACTTTGGGACACCTCCCAACTTGAAAGTGAACGTAACTTGTATATCTGTGTATATGATGAAAGGTCAGTGAATAATGAAAGAAAAAGTAAAAACAAAAGAAAGCCAAGAGCAGAAAGTGGAAAGAATGGGTAAGATGGGTAACTAACAAACAAGCCTAGCCTTTGTCTCAATTCGTTTCCTGTTTCCCATCCAAATTCTAATCACACACAACAGAAACTGGATAGCAGCCAAATATACAATAAAAAAAGAAAATCACTGGGGCCAGACTTACAGAAGCAAACGCTGAGAGGAAGGACGGCTTTGTTTGGAACAGAGACTCAGACACGGTATGTGCACATAAATGGCTGAACTTCGTGGACTCTTGCAGTAGAACCTACATACATACTGATTGCTCAGTGTACTTCAAGATGAGGTTTCCTGAAAATAAGCAGAATTTGTCTTAATTTATGTTTCTTTTAATTTATATTTGTGTATAACATAAGTAGATAACATCTGAATGGGGAACAATGGCAGCACAGATATAATAAAATTATATTAGATTGCATTTGATATAGCACTTTTCACGTCTTCTGGACATCTCAAAGCGCTTCACAGAATATACTGTAAAGTGAATTGACTGTGTCATAGAAATTTTGCTGGATGTGAGAGTGCCTAGAAATTTTGAATGTGAAGAGCTTGCTAGCATTCATTTGAGCTTAAAGGAATAACAGGAGACAACCAGATGGGAAGCTGGAGGGTTCTCGAATTCATAAATTCAATGTTAATTACTTGATGCATACAACAACAACATCATCAACAACTTGCAGTTATATAGTGTCCTCCACGCAGGGTAGTGTCTAAGAGCGTTCATGAGGGAGGAGGAATAGAAGGATGTCAGAAAGTGATTCAGAGAGTGGAGCAAGATTCAATTTCACAGTGAAGTAGAACCAATCTACTGTAATTACAACAATAACAACAAAATTACATTTTTAGAGCGCCTTTCACTTCAGGAGGATGTCCCAAGGCGCTGGACAGTCAAGGGTCAGGTTGGTAGGGAGTCAGCAGGTCAGAGAGGTAGGAGGGGGCAAGGCCATGGATGGCCTCGAAAGTGAAGATGAGGATCTTGAATTCGATCCTCTGATGGATGGGGAGCTAGAGCCCGGTGCGCGAGAGAACATGAGCTGCAGAGTTTTGGATGATCTGCAGCTTGTGAAGGGAAGAGTTGGGAAGGCCAATAAGGAGGGGTTTCCATAATCAAGCCTTGATGTGATAAATGCGTGGGTGAGCGTTTCGGCAGCCTGAAGAGTGAGGCAATGACGGAGTCTGGCAATTTTGCGGTGAAGGTTTCTCTCCAAAGTAGCATATAATCTTTTCAGAAATGCTTAAATTGAATTTGCTGTAATGTAAATACTGTACCATTAATATAAAGTAAAATAGCTTGTTAAAATCTATTCACAATAATGTTTGTTTGATTTTGCATTAATCAATGACAGTTGGAAAGATATCTAACGGATAACAGAACACTTTTTTACACAATTAGACAAACAGGACTTAAATTGATTCCATTTCACATCTGTGTTCCATTCAAACGCTAAAGATTTCCTGATGGAACATGGGAGATGTTTAATACCAGATGTGTTCATTTTGTTATGTAAACCAGGAAGTTTAAACAGTTAACAACAACAACAACTTGGATTTATATAGCGCCCTCCAAGTCGGACAGCGTCTCAGAACACTTTACAGTTTAGGATCCCGGGGCCGAGCCAGGGGGAGGGGGAGGAAGGTGACCAAAGGCGCGGTTGAAAAGAAAGGTCTTCAGCAGAGCCCTACAAATGGGAAGGGAGGGCACGAGATGAAGAGAGTGAGAAAGGCAGTTCCAGAGCCTCGGGGCATAGTGGCTGAAGGCACGCTGCCAAGAGTGGAGCGGAGGACTCGGGGGATGAGGAGGAGGCCAGTGGAGGCGAGCGAGGGTGGGAGTGATGTGGTCGCATAGCCTGGTAAGTTCTGAATGACCTGCAGCTTGTGGAGGGAGGTGCCGGGAAGGCCGGCGAAGAGAGATTTCCCATAGTCCAGCCTTGAGGTGATAAAGGCGTGGACCAGAGTTTCAGCAGTGTGAGGGGTGAGGTAGTGCCGTAGTCTGGCGATGTTTCGGAGGTGATGGAAGGCGGTGCCAGTTGTGGCGCTGATATGAGGAAGAAAGGACAGCTCAGGGTCGAACAGAACGCCGAGGTTCCTGACTGGCTTTGAGAGGTGGAGAGTGCAGCCTTGGATGCTGATGCTGTCAGCGCCTGAGGTGCGGAAGCGCTGAAGCGAGCCAATCAGGAGGGCCTCAGTTTTGCGCACATTGAGCTAAAGAAAGTTGTCTCTCGTCCAGGACTCAATGTCAGATAGGCAGGCTGTCAGGACATCGGTGCAGATGTACTGCTGGCAGTTTGTGAGGTAGGACTCGAACCAGGCGAGTGCAGTCCCACTGAAGTGGATGACGGAGGAAAGGCAGTGGAGGAGGATGGCGTGATCGACTGTGTCAGAGAGGCTGTTGGCCCGACTGACGATAGTGGGGCAGGTCGGGCGGGACATGTAGAGCAGGCTGGAGCCTGCTAAGCTGAGGGAGTGAACACGTTGATATGGGGTTAGTAGGTCACAGAGATAAGGAGGGGCAAGGCCGTGGAGGGTCTTGAAGGTGAGGACGAGGATTTTGAACTCTATCCTCTGACGGATGGGGATCCAATGGAGTCGGGCGAGAATGGGGGTGATAAGGTCATGGAGCCTGATGCGGGAGAGGACACGAGCTGCAGAATTCTGGATGATCTGCAGCTTGTGGAGGGAAGAGTTGGGAAGGCCGATAAGCAGGGCATTGGATCGAATCAATCAGAGACCCCCATTTTGCCCTCTCTAACAAAAGCGCAGTGAAACTAATTGCAGATAAGACAAGCTAGTTCAATATGAAACTATGACATTCTGTATGCTCTAGTGGGTATTTGGATGGACTTTAGCCCACCAGACTATCTAAGCAGCTTTGTTAACTAGAGTGTCAGCCTGGGTTTGTTGATAACACTCTCCCTTCTGAGTCAGAAAGTTGTGTTTTCAAGGCACACATCAGGACATTGAATTCAAATATTCTAAAGTGAACTGCAAAGCAGTACTGCTATACTGTTGGAGGTGCCGTGCTTCAGGTGAAACATTAAACCAAGGTCTGAGACATCTTCCCTTTTTGAATAGTGGCATAGAATCTTTAACATCCATTCAGGTGGATATTAAAGGTCCCATGCCACTTATTCAAAAAGATAAGGTATCCTGGCCAATAGTCCCCCAATTAAAATTGGTCATTCATTTCATGGCTATTTTGCGGGACATTGCTGTGTGCAAATTGGCTTCTATGTTCACCTACTGATGCACTACTAATGGAGTCCTGTAGCATAGTAGTTAGTGCGCTTGCCTAGCAAGTGAGAGGACCCAGGTTTGATTCCCGGGCAGGTCGAAGCCTTAGGCAAGTTTCCTTACTCCACACATCTCTGTTTACCTAGCTGTAAGTAGGAACCCGGTTGTTCGTTCATTGGCAGATCACTTTCCGGGAAAAATCGTCCCTTAAAAAAAAATTGGTCAATCAATCCACAACGGTTTGTGGGACACTGCTGTGTGCAATTGGTTTTACCGTAAGCAGTCAATGAAGCATTGTTCTGAACTTTACAGACTTTAGATGAAAGTCCCTTTTAGTTGTTTTGCAACAATGCTTTGGCAGACACAGAAAGATGGATTCAGATCCAGAAAATACAGGAATCCGGGTTAGCACTAATTTGGGTCACTGCTGTTTGTTTGGTTCAGCTGGCTTGTTCTCCTTTGATGGTGACTCCAGTTTGTTTCTTTATCTCGTATAAGAGGAAGGATTATACTCCCACTTCAATTGATTACTCATAATCTCACATCTCCCCAAGATTGTTTACTGATTGTGTGCACTGATATTCGCCCTTTGTAGCAGGAACAATGCTGGAAAAACGAAAGTTATACAAAGTTAATTAGGGGAGAGCCAAGAGCAAGCAGCGTTTATAGGACAGTGTGAGTCAGGCTGGTGCTGGTTTGTACTCTCTCTGCAGAGCAGCGAGTGCTTAAATTCAGTCTGTGATTTTACACCGACAGAAACCAAGTGGGAAATGTTCTGTCCAGGCATGACTGGGGTTAGCAACTACTCCTGCTGCAGCTCAGGCTCGGCGCCAGCTGCTTTGGACATGTTAAAGAGTAAGTACAAATGATTTTGGGAGGTTTTAAGGCGTGATGCTGCTGTTTTTGAAAATCAATGTCTTTAAATTTAAGATCAGGCAAAAATGTTTAAAATTCATGCTTGATATGACATGATATGTATGTTATGATAGGATATAATAATAATAATAATAATCCTTGCATTTGATATAGCGCTTTTCACGTCGGGAGGACGTCCCAAAGCGCTTCACAGAACACACTGTAAAGTGAATTGACTGTATATTTGTGGGCGAACGCGGCAGCCAATTGCGCACAGCAATGTCCCACAAACAGTTGTAGATTGAAAATGACCAATTTATTATTGCTTTTGGTTTTGGAGGGATTATTATTAGGCTCTGTGTGGAGTAAGGAAACTTGCCCAAGGTTTCGCCCTGTCTGGAATTGAACTCAGGTCTCTCACTTGCAAAGCGAGTGCTCTAACCACTGAGCTACAGGACTCCATATGATATAGAAGCTGGTCCTCGTTGAAGTTCCAATTCCCGTAGAATTACATAGAATCAATCATGCACTGAAAAGACCTACTGGACTGTGTGGAACATATCCAATTCTTATTTAGTTATAAAATGACTGTTTTATTGTGAAGGGGAAATGGAGAGATTTAGTATTACTGTATATCATTATGTTTGCTACCGACAATAAAAGTAACTAGGCTGAAAAAGATTATGTAACTTTATTTTAGATTATTTGCGTTTGGTGCTGTACAATCAATCACTCTGTCAATCACTCTTGTCAGTCAATCTTTCAGTCAATTTGTCAATCAGTCAATGTGGTGTCCTGTCCCGTCATCTCACAAGCAAGCGGAAGGATCCAGGTTCAATTTCCAGACAGGGAGAAACCTGAGGCAAGTTCCAACCTCCACACACACACATCTGTTTACCTAGCATTAAGTAGGAACACAGTTGTTAGTTGATTGGTGGATCACTTTCCAGGGATAATAATCTCTTCAAAAAATAAATAATAATGTTAATAATAATAATTTGGTCACCCAATCCACGAGTGTTTGTGGGACACTGCTGCGCGGGATTTGCTGGACACTGCTGCGCGGGATTTGCCGCTGTGTTTTGCCCAGAAAATATACAGTCGCTATACTTTACAATTTATTCTGCAAAGTTCTTTGAGACATCTCAAAGACATGATAAGCCACTATATCAGATGCAAGGATTATTATGTTATTATTATTACCTTTGCATGTCTCAAGGCTCTTCACAGGTTATTGCTGTCAATGTGTATCAACTGCATACTTGCAGGCAAAAGTAGCAGCCAAGGTCTAACAAACAGCCATGAAATAAATGATAGGATTTTATCTGAAGGAATTTGGGCCAGGATGTTACCCGTTCTTTCCGGGTGGGATTTGCCCCAAAAGGGCTTCATGCAAAGCTCGATTCTGGGGCCCCTATCAGTGTTACCAATGGGTCCCTGGGCAACTCAATTTAGTGGGCAGTTGGCCAGCCCCAGTGCCATGGCTCTTGGCTTGAAGAAGGCTGTTGTAGGCCCAGAGCTGTTGCAGATTGGTTGCACTGAGCTGTCAATTATGCTGATGGGCATTTCCTTCCTGCGGGGAGGTAAGTGGGGGCCTCTTGGAGCTGAACTGGCTTCAACATGAGATGTTTGTTTATGGAATGTCAGAATTGAACCTACCCTTGACGGTGGTCTCAGTAGTCTGGTTCCTGAGCCAGGCGGGTCCGCAGTATTCCACGGCTCTGCTGATGATAGCCCAGCCAGGCTGGCTCATCGGCAGGACTTGGAAGTGCAGACTAGTCACTGGAGGCAGGGAGTCATTCCACTCAGCTCCCATAATCCTGCAAGCCTAACCCCTACAACAATAACAACAACAACTTGGATTTATATAGCGCCCTCCACACCGGACAGCGTCTCAGAGCGTTTTACAGAAATGGATCCTGGGACCGATGCAGGGAGAGGGGGAGGAAAGTGACCGAAGGCGCGGTCGAAAAGAAAGGTCTTCAGCAGAGACCTGAAAACGGGAAAGGAGGGAACGAGGCGAAGGGAGTGAGGAAGGGTGTTCTAGAGCCTCGGGGCATAGTGGCTGAAGGCACAGCCGCCGAGGGTGGAGCGGAGGACTCGGGGGACGAGGAGGAGGCCAGACCCGGAGGAATGAAGGCAACGGATAATGGGTATGGTGGTCCTAGCTGGACAAGTGATAGGAAAGCTTGCTAGACAGTCCTCTCAATGACAAGCTATGTGGTTTTAGCTGGTTTCACCCCATCGCACATTCTTGGGTCCCCAAGCTTTGGCTCTCACCAACCTGGATCTAATACTTTCTGGAATTAGGTAAGCAGGATGCTTCCCTCCAGCGAGATTGAGCATTCCATTCCAACAATCTATCCCTGAAATTTCCATGTGTAAATTCTCAGTTTGGTTTGGACGCTCTTAAGCAATGTAATGGGTTTCTACATGGTCAGACTTCCAGCTGACCAAATAAATAAATAAACATGGTGAAAAGTGAAATACAGCAGTCAAAGTAAACACTGGGAGTATAAAAAATATTGAACACAATGTAATTTCTTTCTTATGAATCAACTTACAATTGTACCATAACCATAAGGAAAATAATTTCTCAGCAGAAGTAAAACTGAGGCGTAAAAGAAAAACAAAACATAAAATCTAAAGGATCACATTTAAGACGTAGGGTTTTCGAGGTCATTCTGCATTCAATTTAGTGCATTCATCAATGTTGACTAAGTGCTATTCTCTTCAGCAACTTTTACAAATTTCTTCATGTGTGCTTATCAAGAACTTTAAACTTACAAACCAAGTAATAATAATAATAATAATAATCCTTGCATTTGATATAGCGCTTTTCAGGTCGGAAGGACGTCCCAAAGCACTTCACAGAAACACACTGTAAAATGAATTGACTATATTTGTGGGCGAACGCGGCAGCCAATTGTGCACAGCAATGTCTCACAAACAGTCGTAGATTGAAAATGACCAATTTATTATTGTTTTTGGTTTTTTGGAGGGATTATTATTAGGCGTGTGGAGTAAGGAAACTTGCCCAAGGTTTTGCCCTGCCTGGAAATGAACTCAGGTCTCTCAGTTGCAAAGCGAGTGCTCTAACCACTGAGCTACAGGACTCCACAAGGTAAACTCAACAAAATTCATGCCTAGGCAAGCTTACCATTGATCCACCTTGTGTAGAAGCTTAGATGAAATTAACGCAAACAATCTTTATTGAAGTTTGCATACAGCAATGTTAGATATCAAAAAGGTCACCCAGCATTCCGTTTAGGTAAAATCTGTTAAGCCAAGTTTATTCAAACAAAAATACCATTGAAGCTCGCTTATTTCAGCAGTCAATCGTCAACGCCGCTAGACTGAGTGCTGCGAGTCCGGAACAGGGTTCTTTCTTAGTTGCTTCAGTTATTCAGGCTTTCGATCTTCTCTTTTTCGTCTACTTATAGTCAGTCGCCTGCCTTGCCATTATATCCCGTATTTACATATCCAATCACTTCGTATTTTACCTAGCCTTATTCGGCGGTTTGTCGACCAACCGCCTCGTCCTTCCTAGGGCCCCTCTACCCACTTCTGATACAGTCATGTACTCGGGTTAATCAATCATTTGGCTTGGTCCCAGCCTGACTGAGTCTTCACGAGTTCTTCCCTTTGTCCTGTCTAAGATAGGAGCTTGATCAGTTTAGGGCTGTATCTGGTGCTTGTTATTTTATTATGTGGAATCATTAGTACATTCCTTTTAAGTGACTGGTTATTTCTTATCAGTATCCTGGGATGGTACCAAGGTCCTCTAGTTTAAGCAACTTGCTCATTAGTTGCTATTCTTGAGGGTTGCCTTCTGTCGCTTGGCAGGTCCTGTCAGAATCTAGCGACTTATTGCTCAGTCGAGATCCTGTGTCGACCGACCGGTACCTTGGACCATTACCTCTGTGGGCTTGTTGTCATTTACTGATAAGAGTCTTGTTATTCTTTCAAAAACAGAGAAAAACAGATGTGTTCCATCCCATGACTGTCAGTACTTTCTCCATTCTCCATTTGTTTAATGTTCATTATTATTAGACTACAACTTCTATAATCTAACAGCAACATCATCTCATTGGTAACAGTTGCACATCATTGCATCTTGTAATGATACACATGCATTTACTTCATATTGTTAGAGAAAAAGATAACTCAATATCACAAAATAAATAGAATTACATGATATATGATTTGTTCATCATACTGTACCATAGACTACAAACAAACTATAGTATCAGGATATTCAATAAGATGGTTTCTTCCCCTCTACACAACACACACGCATCCACACCACTGTACTTTCACGCTACAACCATCGAAAATACCTTTTTGGTTGACTCTTGAGGCCTTATTTTTAGTATTTTTGCTCTGTCTTCCTTCATATTAAATAATAATCTTTGCATTTGACATACCTCCTTTCACAAACCACTTCGCAGGATATGCTCTAGAAGATATACTCAGTTGGAGTTAGATTAGAAGATCAGCCATGATTGAATGGCGGGGCAGGCTCGAAGGGCCGAATGGCCTACTCCTGCTCCTACATGTTATGTTACTCTGAAGTGTAGCACTGTGTATTCTGTAGGCCTATCTTTAACATTCACCTAAACAGGCAGACAGGATCTCAGATTAACATCTCATTTGAAGAACAGCATGTCCAAAAATGTAACACATGCCCAGCATTGCATTGGAGTGTCAGCCAAGGCTATGCATTAAAATCAAATATGGGGTTTTAAAAACCTAACTCAGAGGCCAGAATTACTATTTCAGCTCGGCTGACTCAGGGGTCATGTGTTATGATTGTTCATGCGTTATGTTTACATCTGAGTTAATTGGTGAATCATTCCTGGAGGTCTTCTGTAATTGTTGATAGGATCCTCAATTATATTCAATTTGTTATGGGAATCAACACAAGCACACAACTAAAGTCAAGTGTAGCTTAATCATGTTCAGGTTGTAGTTTATTCTGGTCAGGCCATATACCTGGG